TGGAAAAGGTCTAGGTTTTTTTTAATAGATAAAACTACAGATTTTACATAAATTTGAACATCTAAAACATAGCTCAGAGGTTTTTTTAAGATTGCCGGAGTCGTCATTCTCCTGACGATCTTTCAAAATAATCGTTTCTGAATGTTTCACCAAAGAGTGGTTTGACCAAAGTCCCTTTGTTTATGCAGCTTTCACCTCTACTGACAAATACAGAACTGAAACTATCTCAGCTTCTTATGAATCTGTCATTACTATCTGCTAGTGCACATGGCCATGATAATGCATCTTAAACCCCAGTATCACAGTTCAGTTAGAAACCACAGACCCAAATAATATAATAATCTATTAAAGTTAGAGAAGAAACTATAATATCCTTACCAACATTCTTTAAGAATAGTTTTATAAGTTATTGTAGGGGGAACAATAATTACTTATATTTGAGGGGGGGCGTGTTGGCTAAAGAATCAGAATTTGTTGATGATAGAATCCAATGATATAAGCAGCAACAGGTGGGGTACTTTCATACACACAAGCAACTCCTCTCTCCACAGTGATCTCCCCACAGAGTTAATAAAGATATAATAATAGCCCTCAACAGTACTTTGTCACCTCCTACTGAAATCCAAAGGAAAGCTCCATTCTTATTAATGCTACATTACATAAATTGCTATTCATTTGTTTCTGTTGTGAGTAATATGTACTGAAAAAATCTGGGACTCAGACCCACAGACAAATTTGTCTATGTTAGTTAAGTATGCAAATATATATGCATAATTAGAAATGATTACTATAATTTAAATTGAATACAAGACAATCTAATTAACCTCTTGCTTGCTCTCAGAACAGGATGATGGATTGCAACCACAGGACTGGAGGACATTGATTAAAGTGGCTCCTAATTTTATTTCAAATGTTTTATGTTGATAGCTTGACAATTCCATAATGATCTTAAAATTACATGTCTTGGGTTCTAATTTCTAGAAATCCTAAAATCCACACCAAATTATGCAACATTACATTTCTAGCAGCCTCATCATCATACAGTTCTTAAAGTACTGAAATGCATAGCTGGATGCCTCTACTGGTATTGGAACCAACAAAAATTCCAAATAAAGGTATGCATCAACTATGAATTATCAGTGTTCTCATGCACTGGCATAGCTATATTTGTTTTTGGTTGTCTGTTTTTCAAAAATTATCAAAGCAATCTATCCCTAGGTTTCTCCTCCAGGTGGATAAGGCAGATTGCAGCTCTGAGCACACCACCAAGGAGTAAGACTACAGTCCTACATATTGGAGAGCAAATCCCATTCAACCCAGTATGACTTTTTTTCTAGGTAAACATGTTTAGGATTAAATAGTAAGTTAGATGTAACCTTGAACACGTTATTCCATCTACACATCTTTCTGTAGCCCCAGTTGTTCCCCTTCTCCAAATAATTTCCTGTGCCATTTCAGTTACCTTTTCATATTTCACAAGTGTCTCTAGTCGTGTTCAGGACATTTTACTGCCTGAGGTAGAGCAGCAAATAGTTCCTTTCCCAAAACCCCAGTCTAGCTGAGCAGTAGTGCTCAAGGGCAGCCAAGTTGTTTAGGCCCCGAGGCAGAAAACCCTACAAACATCTCTCTCCTTTCCTAACAATGAAAATATAATTAAATAATGAATATTTTGCTGCCTTTTCACAACATCTCAAATGTTTGGATGTGAAAGATAAAATGGATGTATGTGCAGTAGAAAGGGGGCAACAGATTTCAGGGAGAACCCCCCCCCCCTCGCATAACACTTCAGGCAGGAAAATTAAAGAAATGTTGCAGGTGAGCAAAAAGCCAGCTAATCCTGGGATACAATCCCTGTATCTGTATTCCATAAGAACATAAGAAAAGCCATGCAATATCAGACCAATGGTCCATCCAGTCCAGCACTCCAGTTGCACAGTGGCAACACAGGATCCCTCAAGCAGGATGTGTACAAAACTCGGCCTGCCCAACTGCCTCAGCAGCTTGTGTATGCAGGCATGCCACCTCTGTAAAGGAGAAAATAAATAGCCAGCAAGGCTAGTAGCCACTGATAACCTCCTCCTCCATGAATTTGTCCAATCCCCTTTTAAAGCCATCCAAAATGGTGGCCAGCACCACTTCCTAAGGCAGCGAATTCTGTATTTTAACTATATGTTGTCTGAAGAAGTACTTCCTTCTGTCCTAAACCTCCCACCAAGCAGCTTCATGGTTGACCCTGGGTTTTGAGGGTTATAGAAGAGGAAGAATATTCTAAGTGTGGTCACTCCAAAGATTTGTATTAAAGGAAGTACAATCTTAGCAGTTCTATTTTTTAAATTACATTCCTGTCATGGAGTTTGCCTGTTTCACAGCAGCTGTGAACTGAGGCAACATTTTTGTCAGGCAGTTCACTCCCTCACAAGATTCCTTTCCTGCTCAGTCACTATTAGCTCAGATCTTGAAGTTGGGATTTTCTGCCCCAATATTCATTATTTTACACTTGCTTACACTGAACTGCATTTGCCACTTTGATGCCCATTCTCTCAGCTTGGAGAGAACCCTTTGGAGCTCCGCACAATTTCTATTGGTTCTAACCACCCTAAATAGTTTGGTGTCACCAGCTTGGCCACTTCACTGATTATTCCTAATTCCAGACCACTTATAAATAGGTTGAAAAGCACTGGTTCAAATATAGAAATACAGAACCCAGTGAAACTCCCAAAGGATATAACTCCACTGGTTATATCCTTCCATTGAGAGAAACTGCCATTTATTCCCACTCTTGTTCTTTAACCAATTAGTGATTCATAAGAGAACTCCATCTCCCTTTTATTCCATGACTGCTAAATTTGCTTAAGAGTCTTTGTCAAAAGCCTTTTAGAAGTCCAAGTAAACAGTATCTACTAGATCACTTCTGTCCATGTGCTTACTAACACTCTCAAAGAACTCTTGATAGGTGAGACAAGACATACCTTTGTGAAAACTGTACTTAGAAAAACAAAGTTTATCATCCCGCCTCACTGCCTTGCCATAAACAGATCAAAAAGGATGACTCAGTGTCTGGTGGTGAAGACCAAATGACTCCATTAGTGGGTAACTGTCAATTGCAATCTTTGTATTTTATGGGTTTGCCAAAGTGCATCTCCCCGACCCTATAAAATTCATACATGTAATCTTTTCTGGCAGGCCTGTTCAAGATAACTTTAGTTTAGAAAGCCTGTCTGTTATATCTGATTAGAATGAAATGTAACCTTTTCTTTATGATGCTGTAACATATATCCAATCACTTTCCTATCCATGTCAAAGTATCCAATCACTTTCCTGTGTATTGTATTCACTCCCCTTTTGTGTCTTCTATATAACCCTAAGGAATTTAACATGGGGTGTTCCTTCTTAGGCATCCATGGATCCATGTATTCAATTGTAAATAAACCTATTTGCCCTAACAAGAAACTGATTTCCGAGCCTCTTTGAATTGCGGATGGGTGTGACAAAACCATGGTGACTCTTTTTCAGCAGGGCTTGTCCCTCTATATTCTTTAATAATGCTTTCAAGTCATTTATCCAGAATAGACATTAAGCTAACTGACCTGTAATTCCCTGGATCCTTTTTTAAAAATTGGTGTTACATTGGCCATTCTCCAATGTGCTAGTACAGTGGTGGATTTTACAAACTTTTGGTATTTTGGTAAGAAAATCAGAAATTTCATGTTTGAGTTTTTTTAAGAACTCTAGGATCAATACCATCTAGATCAGGTGATTTACCAATTTTCTGTTTATCAATAAGGTTGAGAATTTTGTCTTTTGTCTGTACTGTCTTAATTTCTGCAAGTGCCATTTTTCTCCAGTCACATGAAAAGCAGATTTCAAAATAACCATAGCATGGATTCCTGTTCATGAAAGGTTATCATGAATCATGAAAGTGCCACAAGTCTTCTGAACCCCAAACAGCAAGACACCCCTATTATCTTCCCACAACTATTCACCTTTCTCTATTCTGGTGCAAACTCCTGATGCAAAAAGAACCATGGACCCCTAATCATGCAAAAAGTAGCATTCCTGAAAGCTGACTACAGAGGCAAGGAGCTCCAGGCACATACAAGCAAGCTCTCTATTCATACATTGCATTGCCACACATCAATTCCTTTTTTTTTTCCCAAGTAAACTCACTTATGTTTTCCTCTGAGGTAAGTGGTCTGTGACATCTTAGCACAAACAACAGAAAGGCAATCTATGAACAGCCCATGCATCTGCTTTTCTTCTTTTCAGTACTTTACTGCCTACAATGGCCCAGAGTGCCAGTGCAGTGGCTGGCCAGCTCTCTCTGCAGTCAGGCTTGCTCTGTTAGGCAATGATGGACCCTGAACTTAAGAAAAACAATGTGCAGAGTGGGGAATGAAAGGTTCGTTTTTCCTGTAGTTTAAACTATAGTTTGGTGCCTTCACACTACATTCCCTATTAGTCTGCAAAGGGTCTTCTGTTATGTGCACTACAGCAAAGCTTTCTGGCCAAGGCAAGGAAGCCTGCTAACCATTATTACATTTATACCCCACCTTTCTTCCTCTTGCAAGGAAGTAAGAGCGGCTTACAAGTTCTCCTCTGCATTTTATTCTCAGAACAAGCACCCTGTGAAGTAAGTTGGGCTGAATGCTGTGATAGACTCAAAGTCATCCAATAAGTTTTATGGCTGAGCGGGGACTGAAACCCATATTTCTCGAGTCCCGTGTCTAGTACTGCGCCCATTATGACGCACTGTGCATTTCTCCCAGCTAACTAGCCTCTCTGGCAGCGGTCCAAGGCGGCCCCAGGGGGTGCAAAGGCTATCTCGGGCTAGGAGGGGCTGATCGCGGGAGAACAGGGCTGGGCTGAGTTGGGCAGGGCTTTTCTCTCCAATAGAGGCCCTAGTCCGTCTGCCTATCCAGTTACCACCGCCTTCGGCAAGAGTGGCAAAGACGTTCGTGCGCGGGACACCTGACTGCGCTTGCCGGTTTGCTTTTTCCTACCTGCCCGTCATGGCGGTTCTTGGTCCACGCCGAGGCGACTGTGCTGGCGAGCGAGCTCCGGGCCCACCCAGCGCTGTAGAGCTATTCCGTCCCCGACTGAGGCAGCGCCCAGCCTGCCTGGCTCGCTCCTGCGTCCGGCGTTGGCTGCGGTGGCGGGCCGCCCCCGTGGCTCAAGACTGGAGGCCTCCCCACCATCTTCTTCCCGCCCCTCGGCCCAGCACATATTTTCCCTAGAAAGGAAATGAAATAATAAATAATGAAATAGCGAGGGCGCTGGAGCAGGGTGGGTGCGGGGGCTCGGTGGCCTTGAACAGCGGCGGGAGCCTGGCCTCGCCTCACAGGGAGGAGCTGGACTTCGCGGGGAGTTCCTTGGAGGCTGTAATTCTGCTCTGTGGATCAGGACCGACCTCCCAGGATATTTGTTTTCGGGAGCTATAGAAGCAGAAACCATCGGCAAGGCAGCCCAGTTCATGCTTCCAGCTATTCTAGGAGAGTCACTTAAGTAGATAACGTGGCTCTTCCACCACGTCTTTTTTCTGTGCATCGTTAGTACACTTGAATTATTTTCAATTTTCTGTACAGTCATCCTTGCAACAAAAAGGTTGGCTCTTCTATGCACTTACCTGACAGAAAAGCCCACTGAATTCAATGAGTCTTACTTCTGAGTAGATATGCCTAGGATTGTGCTGCAATCGGATCCTTTATTCAGTTCAAGTGTTTTCTTCTAAATAAATTTTTATTTCTGGATGCCTTCTTAACCTCTCCTGGTATATTAATGCCATGCCTTCAGGAATTTCTAATACCGATGGCTAATAGTACTAGTAGTAGATGGCATCTTCCTGTACTTGAGAATACCACTAGGAGCCTACCCTGCTAGCTACAATATATTTTCTTTTTATAAGGAGGTTTAAATAAATGCTCATAGTAAATTAGGTGGTGTTCTTCAAGTGAACATGTAAAATTTGTGTTCACCTTCCCCACCACTTCATCTCATGACAAGTGCATTAAAGGTATTATAAAGGTTTAAGGTATTATAAAGTTAGATGCTTGGGGTGAGGGGCATTATTAGCCTGTGCTGTTTAGGCATGTAGTGGGAATCTTTTCAGTGTCAAGAATATCCTGAATAGAATAGAATTCCTAACGATGAGTGCGGAAAGGCACTTTTCTGCAGTAACCTTTCCTTAGTCCACTGTTGTGTGTTGGCTGATTTGGAAAAGAAGTGCACTTCAAATTATGGTGGGGAGTTGTTTACTTCTTTTATTGATCATAAATCAACTCCTGATCTGGTTTGAAGGGAATTGTTTGGGTTTAAATTATATAAAAATGCCATGGATAAGCAACTACTGTTTCTTACTTTTGTTACGTGCCCGTTGTCTCTGACTTACGACAACCCTGTGAATGAAAGCCCTCCAAAATGTCCTGTCCCTGACAGCTCCATCCAGCTGCAGCTTCTATTACGAAATTCAGTCATCACATATTTAGGTTACCCTTTTGTCTTCTGCCTATCACTTTCCCTAACATGAGTCTTGCTTTCCCATGATGTGTCCAAAGAATGCCAGTCTCAGTTTTGTCATTTTGCTTCTAGGGAAAAAGATGCTTGTAAGTTTCTAACTCAATCCTTCTTATAAGGAGTGTTAGGCTGGGTTGCACCTTGATCCCTTTAAATGTTATTTTTTAAATGATCTGGCTTCCTATTTTTGCAATGTTGATTCTCATGCTCCCAGATTGTGTAATGCTAAGATCCCATCACATTTGTATGCTGATGATGTATTGCTGTCACTTTCCAGAATTGTTAAATCATATCTTGTCTGCATTTGGAACCTACTATTTTAAGAAAACCTGACTATTAATTATACTAAGTCTAAAGTTCTAGTGTTCTCTAAAGCCAGAACATGGGTTAAATGGATGTTAAATGGCAACATCATTAAACAAGTTTCTCATATAAAATATCTAGGAATATAAATGCAGAGCACCAGGCTGTAATCTGAACAACATAGATAGCCAATTGAATCAGTGAATTTTGGCCAGTGGCTGGTTTTAAGATTCTTCTTCACCCAAGGTGGCCAACATATTCTCTCTGCAGTTCAAAAGTATAAAGCATAGAACTTGGTGCAAGTTGTTTATAGCATCCTATGGAAAGATTCCAGTATTTCTTAGGAAGCTATTGGGCCTTCTTCCCTGTGTGAAGACTGCAGCCATCTAGCTGAAAGTAAGTGTTCAATCTGTTGAGTGCAAGGCATGAATCAAAGCCTTCAAATTGTTCACATTTTTAGCAGCTCCTAGTAGTTATACAGGAACTGCAGGTGGCACAGTGGTTTAAACCACTGTGCTGCTGGGCTGGTTGATCGAAAGGTTGCTGGTTCGAATCTGCACAACGGGATGAGTGCCCATTGCTCCGTCCCAGCTCCTGCCAACCTTGCAGTTCGAAAGCATGCAAATGCAAGTAGATAAAAAGGTATCACTTCAGTGGTCAGGTAACAGCGTTCCGTGCACCTCGGTGTTTAGTCATGCCGGCCACATGACCACGGAGACTGTCTGCAAACACTGGCTCCCTATGCTAGGAAACGGAGATGAGCACCCTAGAGTCAGGCATGACTGGACTTTGTCAAGGGGAAACCTTTACCTTTACCTTAGTAGTTATACATATGTTACTGGTTCGATGAGAGAAATATGGAAAAATGCTACATAGATTAGGTTTCTCTATAGAGGGTTTGAGTAATTATGGGCTGGAGAAATCCCAATTTCTTGTCGTTCAAAGGTTATAGACTTGGATCTACAACAGTTGAGAACTGCTGATTCCAAGACTTGCTCTTCATTATCCTGCTCCAACTGTAGTAATTGTTACAATACTGCAATTACTGCAACCCCATATCAGTAAATATTAACTATTAAAATGTAAAGAAGAAGATTTCCTTTTGTTTACTTTAATGTGCTACCATTAACACATTACTGGGGGGGGGGGCGGAGATGGGAGCCGCCAGGACATGATGCATGCTAATGGTACTGAGACTGCTGAAAATAGCAGTCTAACTGAAATGCGGAGGGGAGCAGGGAAGTGGAGGTTGCCTTGCCTGCTACTCCTGTGCTCCATTGGATGTTTGCTTATGGAGGTGCAAACAATAGGAGTGCAGCCTTACCTCATTTATTTATTTGGGATATTTCTAACCTGTTCAATCACTGTGAGTCTCTGGACAGCTTACAAAACAGGTTTAATAAATACAACAATATAAAAGATCATAAATACCCCAACAAAGATAAAACTAATAACCCACGACTGTAAAAAAATAATTTTTAAACATTAAAATATTGGGTGAATAGAAAGGTCTTGACCTGATGCTGAAAAGCATATAATGACGGCACCAGGTGGACCTCTCTAGGGAGCACATTCCATAGCCGGGGTGCCACCGCAGAGAAAGCCTTCCTCCAGGTATTCTGTCTCCTAATCTCCTTCAAGGAGGGTTCCTGGAGCAGGGCCTCTGCTGCAAATCTTAAGGAGTGGAGGGCATATAGAGAAAAAGATGTTCCTTTAGGTATCCTGGTCCCAAGCTGTTTAGGGCTTTATCTCGTAGATCATAACCAGCACCTTATATTGGGCCCAGACTTTAATGGGAAGCCAATGAAGCTGATGGAGGACCGGAGTTAAATGAGAACAACAACTGGTCCCCGATAGCAACCTGGCAGCTATATTTTGCACCATTTGAAGTATCTGGACCGTTTTCAAGGGCAGCCCCACATAGAGCGCATTACAATAGTTCAACCAATAGTCCAATTGTTGGGGGCCTCTCAGAGGAAGTCCTCTTAAGATGCTCTTAGGTCTGGGCAGGTATAATTTACAGCAGCCAGCAAACCCCCTGAACAATTAAGAACTCACAAATTTCAGTGAATAACATTCCATTAACTCCAGTGATCTCTGAAATAGCTTTTAGAGCTCAAGGGGAAATGGCTCTTACAGGGATAGAGCACAGTGAGCATATATGGGAAGGACATTTTACAGTTTGGTGCCACTGCTGAAAAGGCCTTGTCCTGTGGAATCACCACCTGCACTACTGCTATTAGGGGTACATAAAATGAGAGCATGTGTAGATCATCTGAGTCTTGGTATATAGGACAGTTTTTATAGGAGCAGCAAGTAAGGGCAGCAAGATTGTTAATGGGGACTGGCTTATGAGAACATGTTACACCAGTCCTCTTCCAGCTGCACTGGCTGCCAGTTGAAATCCGGGCCTGATTCAGAGTGCTAGTATTAACATTCAAAGCCTTAAATGACTCAGGGTCAGGTTATCTAAAGAAACACCCTGTCCCCTATGTACCTATCAGGACCCTAAGATCATCTTTGAGGTTCACTTCTCTGGGAGCCGCCTCCAAAGAACATAAGGAGGGTAGCTATCAGGAGAAGGGCCTTTTTGCTTGTGGAACCCTGGCTATGGAATGAGCTCCTTAGATAGGGTGCCACTCTGAGTTATGGTAAAATAAAAAGGTTTTCACCTGGTGCCTACTTTGAATTCTTTTTGGCACCAGGTGAAACCTTTTTTTATTTTACCAGTATTTTAACAGTTAACTTTTAAACTTTAGTTTCAATATTGCATTTTATCCTGCATGGCTGCTATGCCTCTGTGCTGATTTGGTTGCGTTTGCTTGATTTTATCATATGTTAATTTTTCACTCATTTGTGTGTTTTTAACATTTGTTTTGGGCAGTATAAAAATGAAATATAAACATTTAGGTGGTATATTAAGATATTAATATTTTCAACTGTTTTAACACCTGTGTTCATTAAGCTCTTGCCTAATTTGAAAAGCCCTCTGCCTGCAGTCAGTTTAGCCCTCTGTCATGAGTGATTAGTTCTTCCTTTGGCAGCCTGCTGGGCAAGGAGGGAGAGTGAGAGAAGGGAGTAGCAGAAAGAGAGAAAAAGGGGTAGTCTACCTACTTTTGGTGCTGGTCCTGCCAACTGCTTGCCTACCTGCTATCAGCCCACAGCAGCAAAATGCTGAGATAATGCAGCCCTCAAAAACAACAGCAAGATTCCCCACTCCTAGTTTAGGCTAAAAACTGTGTTTTGAATTATGTCCCCAAATTATATGTTTTGAGCAGTCTGCCTGTTATACACCATCCCAGCTGTATTTGGAGCTATTTGTAGTTTCTGAGCAATCTCCAAAGATAGTTGCTGTAGACAGTACAGTAATAGCATGATTTAAAGGCACACTGAGGTCCTAGGAACAGTGGTTAGATCATTCCTATCCAGGAAATGATACAGCTAGAGGATCAAGCCAAAGGCCATGGGGTCAAGCAGCTGTCTCATAGCACTTTATGAGATCTATCCTTTAGGAAATACCAAAACAGCTGCAAAAGAGGTAATCTTCATTCCTTTCCCACAATGCTAAGAACATAAGAAAAGCCATGCAGTATCCAGGCCAGCACTCCAGTCACACAGTGGCAAACACAGGATCCGTCAAGCAGAACAGGTACAAGATCCCACATTCCTAAGCTCCTCAACAAGCTCTGTAATGCCACCTCTGTAAGGGATCAGATGCTGATCCTATGCATGTTTACTTTTAAGTATAGCTTGTTTATAATTTACTTATATCTTAAGTACACATGGTGATGTGCATTAGAATTTTATTTATTTATTTATTCGATTTATATCCTGCCTTTTTCCTACAAAGGGCTCAAGGCAGCTTGCATCATTCTCCTCCTCCATCTTATCCCCACAACAACAACCCTGTGAGGTAGGTTGGGCTGAGAGTCTGTGACTGGCCCAAAGTCACCCAGTTGGCTCCATGGCTGAGCGGGGACTCGAACCCAGATTGTCTGAGTTCCAGTCCCAAGCTCTTAAGCACTACACCACACTGGCCCTCATATATAAGTCATATATAATCAATAAAAGTAACAGCCAATTTCTAAAAGTAGTGACAAACATAATACAACCAACACTTAAAAGCAGACCCCCACAACAACCTGGCAGCAACAGCACTACATATTCCATGTTTCAAAGTAAGCACAATAAAAATGTCTTTCATTTTTTAAAATACCACTGTGCTCAAGGGGGCTCATTTCCAATATCACAAGACTGAAGCCAGTAATTTAAAACAAAACAGGAGGAGATGCATTATTGAGAGCCAGCGTGGTTTAGTGGTTAAGAATGTGGGACTGGGACTATGGTGATCTGGGTTCTAATTCCTGCTCAGCCATGGAGCCAACTGAGTGACTTTGGGCCAGTCACAGACTCTCAGCTCAACCTACCTTACAGGGTTGTTGTAGGGATAACATTGAGAGCAGAAGAAGAATCATGTTAGCCACTTTGAGTTCATTGTAAGAAAAAAGCAGTATACCCAACCTATGGAATTCACTCCCCAAAGAGGTCCGCCTGGCACCGTCGTTACTGGTTTTTCGGCGCCAGGTAAAGACCTTTTTATTTAAACATCATTTTAATTGTTAAAACATATGGTCTGGCCAGGGCAACTTCTTCTTCCTTCTCTTTCTCCTCCTATATTTTTATTTACTTAATTTATACTGATAATTTTAATCTTATATTTGTAAATCAATGTATTTTTTGTATTTTTGTATTTAATGGTAATTTATTATGTGCTATTGTATTTCAATGTATTTTATCGTGTTGTAAGCCGCCCCGAGGTTTCGGCAAGGGGCGGCATAGAAATGTTATTATAATAATAATAATAATAATAATAATAATAATAATATACTGTAAAACGTAATTGGAGGATTGTTCTTGTCAAGCTCTCTGCAATTAAGTGAGGAGCAGTTGTTAAGACTTCTGACTGGTTTGTGTTTTTAAAATGCAGCCTCATTTGCATACTATTACTTATTACCTTTCAAGTGAAATTTATATGGGCATTTCTGCATATCAGTTTCTCTAGGACAAGAAGTGACATGACTCATTCATCTTCCTAGTGGCAATCATATGCTTCGTGTGCATAAGATCCTGAATTTAGTCCCTGGTATCTCCAGTAACAAAGGATTTCTGGAAGAACTTGGCAAACTGCCTGAAATCCTGGGAAGCCACTGCCAATTAGTATAAACAAAACTAGGCAAGATGTTATGACTCAGAACAATTAGACAACTTGAGTGTCAGCAATGAAGAAATTGAAATTGTGAAAGATTTTGCAAGTTTTGGTTCAGTCATCAGTCCAGAGAACTACTGCAGCCAAGAAATTAGAAGACTGAAACTTGAAAGAGCAGCAATGAAAGAACTATAACAGATAATCAAGCGTACAGATGTTTCACTGGAGGTCAAGGTCAAGATCATCCACACTATTGTATTCCCAATCACTGTGTATGGGTGTGAAAGTGGAACATTGAAGAAAGCCTGATGGGAAGAAAACAAATACGGTGCTGGAAGAGGGTTTTGCAAATATGAAAAATGAAGATTTGATAGAATAAATCAAACTAGAATTTTCCCTGGAAGCAAAAATGACAAAACTGAGGCTGTCATACTTTGGCAAGAATCACTACAGAAGCCAATAATTCTAGGGAAAGTTGAAGACATCAGAAAAGGAAGACTGCTATGAGACAGATTGATTCAATAAGGGATGCCATAGCCTTGAGTTTACCAGGAGCTTAGTGGGGCTCCCTATGTTTACATGTTGGATAGACAGACAGAAAAGGGCTCAGAGTGACACACAAACTAAACATCCTGTAAAAATTGAAGGCGGCCATTTGGCTGGGATTCTCTACTGGCCTCATAGACATAACTGCAGTGCTGCATTGCTATGGTTAAACTCCATATGTATTGTATCATAGATACTGCAATACTGTGCATATCTACTTGGAATTAATCTCAGTGGATTTCAAAGGGATTTATTCCCAGGCAACTCAGTATATACTGCAGCCACTGATAAAAACAAAGTGTCAATCCAAGTGTCCACAGACAGAAGTTCTGGTTTCTTTATATCCCCGTTTTTCTCTCTCACCTTTAAAGTAGTGGTGAGAGTTGTCCATAGAAAACAATAAAGAAATCCAGGTATAGCTTTGACTGGCAGCACCACATACATCCAGGAACAAAAAGAACCATGTAAACACACACACACACACACACACACACACACACACGTGTTGTTCAACTTTTCATAGTGGAACGGGTTTGCATGAAGTCAAGACAGTAGGACCTTCCAATTCAGAGAATTCTGAATTCTGAGCAGGGACTGCTAGGTAGCATGCGAGTCAAACAATTTAAGTAGATCGCTCTTCAACCTTACGGACATTTTGTATGAGGGAGTTTTGTCAAGAAATCGAAACCAGCAACAGCTCCGCTTCTGACCTGTATTATTAATAGTTTTACTCAACAGAGCCCTTGTAAGTCACTCTCAGCCACTGACCCTGCCCTGCAATATAATGGCCTATATTGTCAGAATTCCCCGAACATTTCACAAATAATCCAAACCAAGTGTCGGAAGAGGATGTTCTTCGTTCTCTGCCACCTCCCGTTCTTTCTGAGTGGACAGGCAACTACCCAATCACACAACAAAGTTAAAATCCAGGATTTGGGGGTGGGGCGGAAAGGAACGGAAGCTTCCCCTCCAATTGCGCCATGGATTTACTACCTCTGTCCTGTGCAACTCTAGCTATACAAAACGGCTGGGGCTGAAGCGGGGCTGAGCACGTGATGATGCCTCCGCCGTTGCTGTAGCAGCAACACGGAAGTGCTTTGCTTCAGCGAATAGTGTTTCAGACTAGCTGCTCTCTGACGACGGCCTTCATATTTCCCAAGATGGCGGATCTGAACCGGCAACTGCAGGAATACTTAGCGCAATCCAAGAGCAGCGGAGGCGGCCCGGCGGCCCTGTCCGTACCGCAGAGCGCACCACGAGAAGAAGCGGAGACTAGCTCGGGCTGGGGGACTTGGCTCGGGCGGATCAACCCTTTTCCTGCGACGGAAACATGGTCGCGGGCAGCCGAACCAGATCCGGATCCGTGGTTGCCTACCGGACTGTCCCGCTGGCAGCGCCTTGTCGGCAGCACTCTGTGCCTGCTGCTGGCTGTGATCTGCTTCGGCCTCGCCGCGCTGTATGGGTCGCTGCTGCTGCTCAGAAAGTTCGCGCTGCTCTGGTCCCTGGGCTCGGCTTTTGCGCTGGGCGCCGCCGGTTTCCTGCGGGGTCCGAGCCGTCTCCTGGGCGAGCCCGATCGCCGCGGCCTGGCCATTCTCTACCTAGGCTCGGTGGGTGGAACTCTGTATGCTGCGCTTGGGCTCCGGAGTACCTTGCTTACCACGCTGGGCGCCGTTGTCCAGTTGGCAGCCGGCGGGACTTACTTGCTGTCCTCCGTGCCTGGTGGAGCTACCGGGCTGCGCTATGCCGGCGGGTTCCTGAGCGGTTTCATACGGCGTCGTGTGTCTAAAACTCTCCCGGTGTGAGGACAGCTGTCTAGGCAGGTCCATTCCAGGAATTGGGAAAAGAAGACTGAGCGCTGAAGAAGGCGCCTCCTGACCTTCCCCAAGCTAAAACGGAGCACAGGACACGCATACCTGTCCAAATCCGACTGTCAGGTTTATTCCATGGGCGGTTGTCGCATAGAGTTTACCATATGTTTTGATTCCAGGACACCAAAGACAAGGGAACAGTTCTCCAGTTTATTCTGTCTGTGTGAGGCTGTTGCCTCTCTCGGAGGAAACTGAAAAGGGATACTTGAATTTTGCTGCAATAAGGAAACTGTGTGTGAAAGACTTAATCGATGAGCAACTATATAAGCAAGTGTAACTAGTCAAGGGACAATGTCTCTTTCTGTGGCTGGCCTGAAGTGCTGGATGAGGTGCCCTGGGCAAAGACCCTTTGGTGCTCCACCCATTTTTAGTGCTACAACCCAGTGACCTCCTGAGCAAGCAGCAGCAGGAGTAGAGGTATGGGAAAACACTAGGCTACAAGGAAAGAACTTTGCTTTAAATTTCTAGCAGGTGTTCCTGATTTAATCTCTCAAGAGCTGCATTGGGCTCTTGATTTCCCTCCTTACCACCTACCCTGTGCTTAGAGGGCAGCTGCAGTGAGCAAATGCAGAAGATGGAATTTTAATCCCTTGCCAATTGATGCCTTTGATTGGAGTGATGCTACATTAAGTGTACTGGGGGAAGAAAGAAGTATTTTTTGCTGCAGCTGCTAGGCTGTTCCCTCAGTGTCAGGTGGCACAGAATTTCATACAGTGTACAAGTGGGTGTCACCAGCAGTCAGTGGCAATTGACCATTGTTGGATGACTCTGTTTGTTGATCTCAGCTTTACTATTGCAACTCTTTAAGAATTTAAATGAGAAACCATCATTTTACATCTCTTCAGATTTTCAAAAGCCAGAGCAATAACAGCATGTTTCTAAACATCAAGTAATTGTAATTTACTGGCATATAGCCAGTAGCATCATTCCCACTTGTGCTGGTCTCTTGCCTTATTAAAAATCAACATTACAGCAGTTCTGTTCAGAGCAGGCATACCAAATTATTGCTTAAGCTGACATCTAACACTTCTTTTCAAGCAATGATTGTCTAAATATTCAAACTTTTTTGACATGACTGTTAAAAATTCATTTCTGTCTGAATTCAAAGACCCATATCATACGGATACACAGGACATAATTACACTTTCATTGTGACTTTGGGAAGTCACAAATCCTGGAAGAAGCTGAGTAGAATAACTAAGGATGGATGCCTGTGCATGTTTAGATAGAAAAAAATCTTTTAAACCCCAGCATCCCTCCAGCAAGTTATGCCAACATGGCATGCTGGGAATTGTAGGACTTTTTCTGTCTAAACATGCATAAGATGGCACTCTAAACTCCTTTGGCTCATGGGACTGTCTGTGGAAATTAGATAAATAGCTTATGCATACATATAAAACATGTAAGTCCATGTGTTGCCCTTAATTTTCATAAGCTGTCAGCACTTCTGCAGCATAGAAGATATTAATGCATCATATAGATACTGCTGCTACCAGAAACCATGAGAAGTTGGTTTTGTGTGGTATTTTGGTAAAAATCATTTGAAAAAAACAGTTCAGAAACCTTATTTAGATGTGTGCACAGCTGCAGATATTACACTTAAACAGATAATGTTCCAGATACACAGTTCTTATTTCTTAAAGCTAGCCTCTTTATCATCTGAAGGTGGTTTAGAGATCACAGTCCAATGTTGAACAAACTAGCAGCTGTTGAGATATATTGATAACAAATAATCATATGCATAGAGTTGCCAGTTCAGAAATATATTATTCAGTAAGGCTTTTTGCTGTTGCAGGAATACTGGAGCACTTTTGTGATAGACAAGTGCTGTATCAATGTGGGATAAGAATGGAAGAACTTGGATGGAAGAAGCACATTAGTTTTTTTAAGTGGATACTTTTGACTACTTGTAAAGAAAACTCAAGAACAGACACATGTAGAATGTTCCTCTGCATGTTTATGCAAAAGAAGTCTTAATGACTCTAGTGGGACTTCTAATAGTGGCTTTAGTCTGTGATCCACAGAGTATTAAAACGGTGTGTTTGCATTGGCCAAGTCTCAGTACAAATCTCTTTATTTGACCTAGTCTCATGACTTGTGCATGTTAGGTCACATTGTGAAATCAGGCCATGGCAAATAGTTCTGAATCAAAATGGTGCTGAATATTTAATTATATAATAACAATTGTCCTGCAGTCTTTTAACTGTGCATTTTAATAGTGTTAATTAGTTTAGCATTTGCAGAGCAGAACTAAAATAATATTGCACTACTTAGAAGTAAGATCTATTACGTTCAATAGGGTTTATTCCTGGGTAATATGGAATTGTAGCCTAAACATACAATAATATTATTTTTTAACTATGGCTACCAAACTAGATGAAATAATTCTTGCTCGGTTCCTAATCTGTAATTTGGCTTTTGATAGAAAATATTCAACTTTTGCCAAATTGCTTTTAAGTCTTGTTAGGAAAGAACTAGTGGGACATCACTTTCAGAAATGAAACTGAGTTTAATTACTTGTTTAAATGAATTTTTATTTTTCCCCCTGACATTTGGTAACTTTTCCATGTTCAGCCAGAAGTATAATTCCCTTACATTAACAAGAACTGTGCTATATTCCCATGTGTAAGGGGTGGCTTTGTGTACGATTGTCAGCGTTTAGGAATCCACCACAATTTAAAACTTTTTCCAGAGGGGTGAACTTTTGTATTTTTGTATTAGTGGCTACTTGTTAGTAAGGGATCTGAAAGATGTTAGAATGTTGTTACCTTATTGCTGATAATTTTAATTCAGCTGTGACCAAAATTACCACTAAAATTGATTTAGTGGTAATTTTTCCTGGGAAGAAGCAGGTATTCCAACAGCTAGCTCATCTCTTTTCATGGTTAAGGAGGAGCCATTGTTACCTCTACAGTGGCTCTACCTAAAAAGTTTTCAGGGATTTTACTATTACCTGGGGACAATGCTTACAGAGATTTAACAGAACTTAAAGCAGAAAAACTCCAGAAAGAATTTTTCCTCTAAAGCTTGGATACGTTTTAGTATCAAGGGGGAATGGAGAAATAAGTAGAAATTGAAAACATTGGCTGTTTTGCTTTGAATTGACTTATTTTATGGAGATGTGTGATGTGTTATTTTGTTAATAAACTTTTGATTAATTAGAAGCATAAAATCAAAATTATGGGTTCTTTTATTAAGAATGTAAAGCTTAGTAATATTTTATTTCTTACAGTAAACAGCTTAAACAGTTGTCCTTAAAAGAGTTTTGAATTCTTGTTAATTTTGAAAAACTCATCTGTTACATTTTATAATATGATTGTTCTAAAGAATTTTAAATTATTCTCAAAGCATTAGGAAGCCAAATCTCCCTATTTAATTGTTCATTGGATCTGAGCTGGTGGGACCTCCTACTTGACTAATAGCTGAATTTCCTATTCCTGATAAGTTTCTTCTGATATATGCAGGAAGAAGCCTGAATGAGTATGGTTATCATATATGCTAAACCATACCATTTGCTATGCTTCTGTTAGAATTAAAAAGTGTGTTTTCTTATTATTGATTCTAAAAGATTTAAGTCATTATTTAATTAAGACATAATCCATTATTCCCTGTCCTGCTTAAATCCCATACAGATAGTTTGACATTGCTATCTCAGTCACTTCTCAAAAACTTTGTTGGCTGGAGAAGCCCTCAGGCTGCAACCCTTTGCACATTCATTTCATAGTAAAGCCTTCTGACTAGACTGGGTCTCAATTTCAAGTATATATGCACAGAACTGGGCAGTGTTGATGGGTGAAGCCAGATGGTTTCAAGGTCAGAATGTTGCATGATGCATCTCTGCTGAGAACATTTTATTGCAAATAAAGGTAAAACACAATACTGCAACTGAGTGAAACTACCGCATGTAAATCTATAAGGAAATAGGAAAAAACTTTTTAAGTTCTCTTAAATTAGCTAAGCAGAATGTATGAGAATGTACCTAGAAACTTCTTTCTGGACAACAGGTGCAAGCTAGTTGGCTCAATTATTGCTTCAGAAACCACAACTTCAAGAACTTTTCTGTGATCATTTGAACTGAGGAAGCCAGAAATGTGAGCATTATCTCTAAAGGTCATGCAGTTTTGATTAGGGATCAGCCATCTTTTTTATCATTTCCTTGAGGTCTTTCCTTATGCTGTCGAATTGGAATTGATCGGTGTTCTTATCCGATCTTAAATTAGTGATCAGTATAGATTTACAAGCTTCAAATGGATAATTTATATTATGTAAATTCAGACATAGTGGGTCAGTCCACAGATTCAGGGAATATATGGATGGAAGTCTGCTTATTTGACAAATGAAGGGAAGGGGCTCCCATCAACCAAAGCAAGAGTGATTTCTGTCTACATATTCCCTCTGCATGTAGACTGAGCTTATGAGGCTTGATCCTCTGTATCCAAAGAGACCTATGAGTTAGCTTTGCGACTGTGTGTTTACACTACAAGGAAGTTACCACTTAGGAAGTTTAGGGAAAGATTCTAATTTGATGTGAAAACATGCATACAAAATCACACACTCCATTTGTTATTTTTGGACAAATTGCATTCTGTATTCATAGAAAAACAACTGAACTTCTTCCTGACAACTGTACATATAGAAACAAGTTCTTCTGGACATGAACTGAAATCTGTGGAGGTGCTCCATGTCTCACAACACTAAAAAAAATCCAGCTTTCATCTTCAAATATCAATGTAGGAAATATTGAAGTGACAAAGGTTCAGGATGGTGAGGAGAATGAAACAAAGGTAGTTGTAATGGCATTACTAGCTGGCATTTAATCTTTGAAAAGACCTCTTAGGAACTAATGCACATTCATTTATCTCCATTTAGAGTCCAGGCTTGAGAGAGTGCAGAATTACTTTCTCATCAATTCTGCAGCAGGTACATTTAAATACTGTCCTAGGAAGACTGGGTCTTGCCCAGTCATAACCTCTTCTATCGACCCCTTCCGCCACCTCTAGAACCTCCTCGTCTTGACTGGCTAGAGTTCATGTTACTTCCTCTTCCCCAGTTACTCCCACTTCTTCCTCCTCTGGAAGGATTACTGCCTCCTTGAGGTCCTCCAAAAGGTTCTTCTCTATGATATCCATCATGGTGCTCTCCTTCCAAAGAACTGGACCTCCCAGACTTTGACATCCTCTGTGAAGGACCTGACTTTCCACGCCCTAGAATGATAATACAGTGCAAATTAAAATAACACATACTGTGTTTCTGGATCATGGAATGAACAAAATCAAAGTATAGCATTTTCATGTTTCCTCTCTTCCATATCACTGGATAGACAGCAGGTGATCGCAACAAATAAAAGAGCAATGTTGTCATCCACTTAAGAGATCTTCAGACTAGTTATAGTGGGATACAAGTTGAATAAGCAAACAAACTGCTTGAAACTTCTAAGTACACATGGATGGCTGCAGAGCTATTAAATGACTCAAAACATCTAAGAACCAGGATTTATTTCCTGTTATTTTCAGTATTCTTGACGTGAAACACAAATACAAAGAGTATATTAGTACAGAAAATTAGCACTAGAGACCTAAACTGAGCTTTTCATATAAATACAGCATTTTTGTCCAAACAGGCATTTCCATTAAGGCTTAAAACTATTTTGGGAGGCAATTCTCAAGGAATTATGTTTTACCCTTTCCTCTCTCCTCTGGAGGTCCTCCTTGGATTTCCATTTCTCTGTGGTCAGAGGTTCCTGGTCCATCATGCCAAGGACGCTTGCGTGGTGGTAGTGAGGCCATGTCCATTCCCTGAAGTGAGGAAGAACGCTCTCGACTTGCTGGAGAGTGACCATCATGAGAAGAGTGATCCTGGCGTGGACCTGATCATGATAAAAGAAATCAAGGCCACAGATTTAGCTATCACAAGGAATCTCTTAATGGAACTACTTGTACTATTCATTTAGAAAAACACGTAATAAATATCTAAGTTTTGTAGTGTCTAATTTTCCCCAATGAGAGTCTATGAAGGGTAACAGGATTATGCAGTACCAACTGTTCAATGTTTTATCCCAGTCCCCTTGCTCTAAGTTGCTGTAGAGTTTTCCCCATCCTGTCTCCATCGGACTGAAGCTCAGAGATAACAGGGAACCAGGCTGTGAGCACATTTTAATAAGACTGAAAAAAACCAGCCTTTTCATAAACCTCATCAGAGCCAGCTCTTGGACAGGAACTAGCAGAAATCAGAATGGTGGAAGTATAATTTTCTAGGGGTCATGAAGGAGGCATGTGCAGTAAGAGTTGAAGCTAGTTATATTTGGAGGTGAAGAAAGGGAATGAAGGTGAGTAAACAATGCTTTTTGCAAATATGTTATATATTTTCTGAAAGGTGGGATGAAATGGATAGTAGCCACATACCATAGTGAACTGGAAGAGGATCTAGGACAGGGGTCCTCAAATTTTTCCACCAGGGGGCCAACTGAAAGCTGCTGGTGCTGGGTGCAGGCCGGAAAGGTGGTGCCAGCGGTGCGTGCGGGCCAGCGTGGGGGTGGTGCATGTGGGTGCATGTGCGGGGGCGGGAGGCGTGAGGTGAGGGTGAATGCGCATGCCTGGCAAGGGGGGCAGGGCAGGGACGGGCATGCACCATGAGGCGAGTGCATGAGGCAGCGGCTTGCTCGCTTGGAGATCATTTTCTCTGAGCAAACTGCTGCCTCCCCGCATGTGGAGCAAGGTGGGTGGTGGCGGGGGTGCACGTGGGCATATGTGCAGTGGGTCAAAATGGGCATGGCGGGTCGGAATCTGGCCTCCAGGCCATAGTTTGAGGACCCATGATCTAGGAGAAGCTTGTGGTGGTGGTTAAAACTTTAACATTGGACAAGATTAGAAAAACCAGTTTTAATCAGAAGTTTGATCTACATGGTAGAAAGAAGCACAGTAGGAAAGAAGGAAGATAAAGACCATGCACTGCTTCTAGACTGAATTAGGTTAACTTTAAACTAAAGTGAAAGTAATGCTATAAATGCAATTAGAAAATGGAAACGAAGAACAGCAACATTCCACAATGATCAAGTCTAGCAAAAAGTAAAGCATTTTTACCTGGTTCTCGATTTCCATCCATTCGTCCTTCAAAGTGAGGAAACTCATCTGGAGTGGGGAGCAAACCTTTCCGTCCTCCTATATTGTAAACGGAAATAAGATTGTGGAAGTGCAAGAAATGGATATGAACAGTTCAACTGCATCTTACATCATCCTTAACTGGACATGAATTATGCAACAAAGCTCTCTTACCTCTTGGAGTACCTCGACCTCGACCTCGGCCACCATGTTCTCTCCCTCTTGCATTTTCCTCTGATGAGTCAAAATTTTCTTCTGGCACAAAGTCATCAGGTCCAGGAAAACTGTCTCTTCCTCTAGGTCCTCGGCCTTCATGCCTTGAGGATGTGCCTCTCCTAAAGCTGCAGCAAAGAAGGAAAATATATTGGCATTATACAGAATTCTGGGTTGATAAAGGACATGTTCAGTTCAAAAATAAAAGTTACTTTAAGAAAGTCAACTATTTTTTGAAGAAATGCCTGCAGCGTTTGGAATGGGATGTATATTAAAACATACTTTACTTTGTGTCTAGGGTTTTCAACCAGGTAAAAATAATTGGTTAACTATCTGAATTCCAAATGAGCCAATCAGTCAATTTAAGTACATTCACATAGTATAACCTCACTGAAAAATCTTTTTAATGGTTCTAAACAAAAGGAAAAAGGAGGAGGAAAATTTCTCATTAAGTAACCTTAATGTTTCTCAGTTAACGTTTAATAAAGTAATCTCCACATTGTTACAAAGTAACAAAGTTTATATTTCATGTCCTTTAAAATCAAGTTGGGGAATATGGAATATTACTAATAGCAGAAATAACTCCTAGTCAAAATAGATTCAAAATGAAGTTTGTCAGACATTTTGCAAGGCCATTGTAGTATCATCCTGCCTGTCAAACTTGAATACTAAATGGAAGGAAATCATCTTTAGTATTTCTGATAACGAAGAAACACAGTGGCTGGTTAACAAAATGTAACAACCCACTTACAAGGTTGCATATGGGTTTGAGTGTGGGTTGTTGCATTGTGTGAACCTAACTACACTAACATTTCACTAAGGGAATCCATGGTTTGTTGCTGGGTTGTGAACTATACTTTTGTGCTTA